ACGTCGTAAAATTTTGCTGTGGCTTATAACCGAGTGCAGCGTTGTTTCGGAAAAAAAGTTATTGGTGAGGCTCTTAATGGTTTATTTTTGGCTGCTGGGCAGTTCAGAAGGCGCAAAAACGCTCATTGACTTCACAGTGATTACTGCTTTTAGGACATTTATCTTTATTGGCAGCTATTTGTTGCCATTTGTGCAACTCAGTATTGTGAGGAGGTGCCAGTTTTGCTGATAACAGATTCTGACATCGATGCATGGAATTGGATAGAGTTCCGGTTTTCTTTGCTCTTCCCAAAGATCATGGCAAATTCTTGCATTTCTGGGATATCTGATAAGGTAAAACTTGAAATTAATGGAAGTGGTACTGTGATCTGTTGTTTTCTGCACTTTTATGCCGTATAAATAGTTTTAAATTAGTTTTCAGTGCTTCTCTCTTTCTTTCAACTTTAAAAGTATTCCTACTTTGGTTTTCTCTACATTATTATAGTTTATGGTTGTGTTTATCGCTAAGCAAGCGTGTTCAACGATTAAAATGAGGAACTCTCCGGGAACTTTTTTGGATTTTTTAAACTTTATTTCAGCTGCATTTGGTGTTACGATCACGTTCTGTTATGTTTTTCATAATATTTATCTTACAGGTCGCCGGATTCTTGATACATCTGTTGCATTCTCTCGTAATTATGGGTAATGGGGCAAAGGAAGCTTTAGTATTACAGGCTAAGGTTTCTGGTTGGTATTTTTCATTTTATTACGGTGCCGAGTACCGTAGCTTCCACTTTTTGTATCTGAAGGAAGAGATTTGTTACTTTATCGTTTTTAATTTCAGAATTTCTACAGGTGTTATTGAAAATTTCTCCTGAAACATTAAAGTGTTTAGACGACTTTCATGTGTGGGAGGAGGTCTTTTCGTGATCAAACATCCCCATATCACCTGAGTATATTTGGGATGTCAATATGCTTTTTACATTTACCAAGTATATTATGACTAGCGTTTTTTTCGTTTATAATATTTTGAACTTCTTTGACGAATTATTTGATTTCACATTTGGTATAATTTGGAGATGACGTTTAGTGTAAATGGCTTCTTTTTGCTTCGCTTATGGACATGGGTAGCATTGCTGAAATAAAACTGTTGGGTCATTTAACCACTATATGCAAATGATGTTTATCCTGTGACATCTTATTTGTGAGTAGGTGAACAGTCTCTCAGATTTAGTCACTAATATGAAGGATTTTGGGGATTTTGAAAACAAATTATTACTAAGATAAGCTAGATTGTTGTACAGTGACTTGTGATGCGCGTTTAGTGTACAGAATAGGGGAAGTTGGTTTCCGAATTTTTCAAACTACTGGCTTTTTATTGTTGAGTTATTGGTGCTGGTAGTTGTTCACAGGTTCTTGTTGAACAGTAATTAGTAGAAAAAGTGGTATTAAGAAACGGATCCTTACCACTTCGTCGAGGTTTCGTTTGTGTCTAGCTTTAGCCGCTTTCCTCGTGGGATTTGTTGTACATATAGCACAGTCCTTAAAATTTACGATTAACTTAGTATATCTTTTGTTAGATTTAGTTTTTGTTTATCTTTTTTTTTCTTTTTGTTAAAAACACTTGGTGAAACATTGGTTATAGGGATATTGCCTTTTCTTGAGAAATCTTGAAACATAAGTTACTGAAGAAATTCACCGTGTTTCTTTTGTACCGCGTTCTGCAAGCTGGGAAAGATAAACAGTCGGCCTGTAAGAAAATGAAAATTTGCTTTTTTTCTTTTTTTTATTTTTTGGTAGGAGGAAATAAAAGTAGAAATATTTGTTGTAAATTTATGGGAAGAATTTTTATATTTACCGAAGATGCGTCAATTTTTGGTCCGAAGAAAGATCGTTTTTGCCGAGTCAACAAGGTCTCGTTTTCTGAATCACACCGTTGGCATTTCAAGTGTTTTTTCCGGGACAGATGTGACTGTAAGGAAGGTACTGAGCGTTTATATATACGTTCCATCTTTCCAGTCTTATTAACTACTGATTAGCGAAAGTTTTCTTCAAATTTTGCATAGTTTAAAGTTTTCTGGAGCAATTTCAATATTAACCGGTTTTAGGGAAATATAAAGAAATCAGATTGCTTCTACTAACTGTTAGTATGGAGCAAATAAATTGGTAAAAATTATTCCAAGGTAAAAAAGGAATAGATAGGATATTAACCTGCCGTTTGATGCGAGAGGTTTTCACAAACTCTTCGTATTCTTCGTCATTTAAACACTCATCGGTTTGAACGCACTGTTGATCTCTGTGATTTCGCTACAAGTTTTTTTTGTGCAGTAATCTCCACAAATTTGGTGCTGCTCGGTTAAAAATGTCAATTTTTACAACTAAATCTCTATTTAAATCACATTATAAATTTGATAGATTTTTGCTGAGAAGCATCAGTTGAAGTGTTGAAGATAATGAGGACGATCTTTCTGAACAAAAATATGAAGTATTTGAATGACGACTGGTAACGGTAGGGAAACTGTTTAGTGGGAAGAGAAATTTTGAAGAATTATTCTGTTAACAGGTATTTGTTGGTTTTTAAAGTTTACATTGTTATTTAGTTCTTAAATAAAGGAATATTCAAAAATATACCTTGGGTTTAAATCTGGTTTCTCTGATGTATGGCTCCAAATTTTCACTTGAATGATCATCGTTGTCAAAAGTTTTGGAATTATCTTCTTCTTCCCAGCTATTTGTAGCTCTTTTTTTTCGGCTGGCCAGCGCTAGACTTACCCAAGCGGGACATGGTATACAATTCTAAAAAATGCCATGTCGTTATGTTCTGTGAGATGAGTCAATTTTGAGGAGCGGGTGGATTGTGAAGGCGTACTTCAATTTCTAGCTCACTTTACTACGCAAAGAATTTCTAAATGTCTTGTAAAAAATTCAAATGTCTAACAGCTGTTTGATCAGGACTGAAGAATTGTCGTTTGTGTCTCTTCAACTGGTGTTCATGACCGATCTTAATCTTCTGGTACCTGACTATCCGTGCAACTTGACGTTTTCTTCGCTTTTTTTTGGCCAATAGGCAAACTGGGAATTTAATACAGCCAGCAGCTAAAAATAATTGTAGCTAGAACTTCAAAATTCAAATTTTTTTTTATTGTTACCGTTTGTGTTCCAGCCACCGCACCTGGATCTGCCGCACTCTGCTGAGCGAGTAGTTTCACAATGTCAAACAGTCCTCCAGAAGAAGAAACTTGTCGTTTTGAACGGGTCAAATTGTCATCATCGCTTATGATATTTCCACATTTGATTTTTTCACTCTTAATATGATCAAACTTATTTAATGTGTGAGATACTTGTAGTACCAAGGATAAAAGATTTTTTCAAGAAATACGAAGGAGAGCACTGAAATTACTGTTTATTAATGATAGCAACATGTTAGAAATTCCGATTGATTTCTTGTCATTTAGATTTCTGGCAATTCTTAAGGTCTAATACTATGTGCAAAAGTAAGTAAAATTCTACAAATTTGTTCCAAAAGCAGTTCAACAAACTGTCATTAAAAATTGGTAGTTTGTTTTTACATACATTATCGGCGTATCGTTTATTGCGTTGATAACATTTCTGAAAATCTACTTTTAATAGAAACGATTCCTTTTTTTTCTTAATATGTAATATATATACTCTTTATTATTAATAAAAATCTGTTGTTATATCAAAGAAGTGTTTGGGACGATATGATCAAAGCAACGGTAACCTCCTGTTCGGTTTCTCTTTTCCTTCTCCCAAAGAAACTTTCGGGGCACGGTTCACAAAACTACAAATACAATCTTTACATTCTCTGACAGAGAAGTTTAGTGTAAGAAAGTATAAAAATTTTGTATGCCTTTAATTGAAATTTTTCATCAATTTTCTATTTGCCTACGATATTACGGTGAAAATATGTGAGCATTCAAAGAGCAAAAGTCACTTGAGAACCAAAGCTGCGTTTAGACCGTCGCTTGAAATCTTTGCACTGTGGATACGGTATACACTGCAATTCCGAACTTTGCATGGATCAGCTTGAAAAGCAGAAGGAAGAATCTGAATAGTGGTTGTAATGTGGTTAACCTACTCCTGGCACTTCACGTTTTTCTCTAGGGTGGATTGGTGCAGATGATTGCCTTTTGATAAACTGATGAAAACCTGGTTGTAGGTACAAACATTGTACACAGTTCTAAAAAGGCTTGAAAAAGTAAAAAGGGCTCACAAGTGCAAAAGAGCGTGTTATAGGCTAAACACTGCTATATAACCTCTGTAAACCTATCTTTACTTTTTATTATATACTAAGTTCTAATTCAGTGGATTCATTTCATCAAATATAGAAGTATTACGAAAGTACATGCGACATAGATCACGTTTTCCAAAAGGAGCATCGCTCATACTATTTTTCTTCATTTGGACTAAAGAAACCTGGATGGTAAATGAAAGAAGTAACTTGAGAATTTAGTAACTTGTAATTTTGGTCAGCGAAGAACCTCTGAAGGACGGGTAAATAAACTTACCAAATCTCGTTTCGCTCTATTTTTAGTTGAAGGCCTTCCATTGACGCAAGCTTGGCACTAAATGTGCATTTTTTCAAATTCTTAAGAAATTGCCGATATTATTGTCAGTCATTTCTGCTGTTAATTAATTTAAAAAGAAAAACATTATGGTAAATCCATACTGTTGCTCTCCTGACCCTATTAACCCGACCGTTTTTGTAAAGTCGGCCGGCTTTTGGAGCAAAACCGGTGTAATCAGAAGACGGCTCCTCATCTCCAGAAGTTGAAATCATTTTGCCATTTTTATTTTCAGCAATTACCTCGTCATCAGCTAAAGTTCAGTTACCTCAACATTCGACTGCACATTTAATCGTTTGGTAAAAATGTCATCAAATCATACCAAAAAATTTTCTCAGTTGTATTTGAAGTAATAAGTGATATGACAATGATCAAAAATTCAAAACCTAAAGATACTTTTTGAATATATGAAATGAGGAAGTATCCCCGGTAAAGGCCAAAAACATTCTTCTCTGTTGGAAAAATTTATAACTAGCGTGTTCAGAAAGAGGCCTAAATATGATATGCTGTCCAAGCAAATTTTTTCAAAGTAGATGGACAAAGCTAACTAGCAGTATACTTTTAAAAATTAGAAAATATTCATAATTCTGATTCCCTGTTTAAATACAAGAACGTTACAAGAGCATGGATGACAAAAAGCATCGTGTCTTTTGGCTCTCTTGCCAAGAACAACTCGTTTTCTACATGGACAAGTCGGACAAGCCCTGAAACTTTGCAACATCACGTTTTCCAAATTTTTTCACAATGATTTATTCAGTTCAA